GAATAGAATAGAATAGAACAGAATTAGAACAGAACAGAACAGAACAGAACAGAACAGAATAGAATAGAATAGAATAGAATAGAATAGAATAGAATAGAATAGAATAGAATAGACAGAGATGGGAGGGACCTTGGAGGTCTTCTAGTCCAACCCCCCTCCTCAGGCAGAAAACACTAAACCATTTTAGACAAAGGGTTACCCAATCTCCTCTTAAAAACTTCCAGGGTTGGTGGGAGACCCCCTTGTACTATAATGAGGGCTTCAGGGTGCATGCAAAAAAAGTCAAGGAGGCAGCTGTGGGTACGACCACACCTAGTCCTATTTCCTGGGCTTCGCTGTTATGGCCGTCCCTTCGCCGGCAAAGGCCGTGGGGTGGGGGTCTCTTTTGGAATGTGGAAATGTGGGGGCTTTTTCCCCCCTAGGCCAAGATGGCAGGAATCTGACTCGTCAATGGGACAAAGCCCAAGTAGTCCTTGACTTACAACAGTTCATTAGTGACCGTTGGAAGTTTACAACGGCACTGAAAAAAAGTGACTCAGGACCGTTTTTCACACTTACGACTTGCAAAATTCTCCACGGCCACGCAATCAGAATTCAGGCTCTTGACCACTGACTCACATTTATGACCGTTCCAGGGGGGGTCACACGATCCCCTTTTACGACCTTCTGATGAGCAAAGTCGGGCTGGGGGGGAGCCAGATTCACTTAACGACCGTGTGACTCGCTTAACCATCCCAGCAATTCATTGAACAACGGTGGCAAGGAGGGTCGTAAACCAGGGCAAAGTTCATCTAGCAATCGTGTGTCTCACTTAAGGACTGCACCGACTCGCTTAACTGTGGGGAGAAAAGTCATATAACAGGGCAGAGTTCACTTAACAACTGTGTTACTCATTTAAGGACTGCACTGATTAACTTAACTGTGCCAAAAAAAAAAAAGGTTACAAAACAGGGCTAAAACTCTGAATACCCAGCAGTGAAACTTTCCAAGACTTACTTGAAATAATTTGCTTTTAAAAAAATCACAGAAAAATTAAAAAGAAAAACCCCCAAAGGAACAAAAGACGAAGTCAGGGTAATTATCTAAAAAAATAATAAATCAGATGGACTTAATAACAAAGGGGAAAAGAGTACAGGCAGTCCTCAACGTATGACCACCAGTGAGCCCGAAATTCAGGTTGCCAAGGGAGAAATTCATTAAGTGAGTTTTCTTCCACGTTACAACCTTCCTCGCCAGGTTTGTTAAGTGAACTACTTCAGTTGTTAAGGAAGTCACACAGCTGTTAAGTGAATCCACCTGCCCCGATGTTCATGGGGATGTTGCAGTGGTCATAAGTGTGAAAAATAATAGTCCTAAGTCCCGTTTTCCAGTACCGTTCTAACTTCGGTCACTAAATGAGCTGTTGTAAGTCAAGGACTACCTGTAGTAGAATCTGGGATCTGGCCTGAGAGGTCTGTCCTGCCATTTCCTCTTGTCTTGAACCCAGGACTTCTCTTTGCTGCCCATAATAGCCTCCTAACTCTAACCAGCCCTAATCTACTGTCCCTGTCCTAACGTTCCCTTTATTTGTACCCATTTTATTTATTAATAATCACGGTTATACTTATATCTGTTATTTAATACATGCTTGACAAAATAACTGAAATAAAATAGTCTAATCCCTTAATTCACTGTTTCTCAACCTTGGCCCCTTTAACATGGGTGAACTTCAACTCCCAGAATTCGCCAGTCAGCCATGCAGGGTAACTTTCACAATAGACGGTGGGAATGCAGTAAGTGTAATAGATCTTGACTTCAGCAAAGTGAAAAAAAGAGCTGGCTGGGGAATTCTGGGAGATGAAGTCCACAAGTCTTGAATCAGGGGTCTTCAACCTTGGCGACTTTAAGACATGTGGACTTCAACTCCCAGAATTCCCCAGCCAGCCCTGGAAAGTAACTTTCTTAATAGATGGTGGGTATGCAGTAAG